CATCAACAACAATAACAACATCAACAACAATAACAACATCAACAACAGTAACAACCACAACAATAACAACATCAACAACAATAACATCATCAATAACAACAATAGCAATAATAAAAACAATAACATCAACAACAATAATATCAACAATAATATCAACAACAATAACAACATCAACAATAACATCAACAATAACAATAACAACAATAACAGCAATAATAACAAAAACAACAACAATAACAACAACAATGACAACATCAACAACAATAGCAGCAATAACAACAACAGCAGCAGCAGCAACAATATTGCTTTGATTCCTTTCCCTTCTCTCTGCCTGTCTCCAGTACAGACCCTATCCTTGAAGCAGAATTTGAAAGCTGCTCCATATCCAGTCATTGCTGGACACAGCACTGGCTTCCAGTCTGTCAGAGGTCATTGTGGGTCCTCTAGGAAACATAGGACCCAGACAATGGAAAAAGAGAGGAACCGACAAGGTGGCAGCCATTTGGGATCACTCGTACCTTTGAGCAGAGTACTGTCCACAGCCATAGCTGTCACATGTCCGGATCTCGTTGGAAGATTTGCTGGCACATATGTTAGCCCATGGTCCTGCCAGGGCTGCAGAGGAGAAATGTGAGAGTCATGGGCAGCCTGTGTCTCTCCTGTATGTCTCCCCAGGACACTGGGGTCTAATCCCACCTCGTTTGGTTAGTTTCTCCTCTAGATAGCTGATTCAGATATAAAACACAGTCCCCTGGCTATGTGATTCCGTGCCATATAAAATTTATAAGCAAGAATCTCCATTATATCGCTGCTTGAAATCCTTCATGAATACAAGGTATATATTGTGCTTTCCAATTTCCTTTGCTTATCACCAGACCTGGGGACCACTATGGTCAAACAAAAGAAAGGAGCAGAGTTTAAAAATGGACAAACCTTAGGAAGCTGTGCAGGAACTTTGAAATGTTGTTTTATAATCAGGTTGGTGTCCAAGCAAATGTTTGACTTACAAACAAGGCATACTCCAAACTCACCAGCTTCATGCAGCATGAGCTAAATCTCATAGTTGCAAACATAGAAGTGGATATTTGAGACGTAATCAAAAGTGACAAGCCACAGTTAGCCTAAAGTGAGACCCAGAGGATGCTGGGAGAGGAGCAGAGATGATTGTGTGAAGGTTCCAAAGAGTAAACACGGTCAGAGGCGCTGTCTCTCTCACCATACTTTGTGCAAACTTTAAGTGCAGCTAGCCCCTTTGATATCATTAATAATATCAGTTGTATTGAATTCCCTGATTATCGTATTAATAGTCACAGGGGTACAGTGGACAATTTAAGCCTCCAATTTTGAAGCTAATTTAATGGTTGGTTTTCTTTAAAGTCATTTTACTCTTTGCTAATATATGTGCTGTGAAGAAAAGCTACAGAATATGGCCGTTAGGTATATTCATCACTGTAACTTCAGATGTGGGTCTCAAAGCCTCTAATGTGGAGCTAAGCTTCAAGTTAACGCTATGATCAGGGTGTAACAGCGTGGAACCAGCACTGTTCTGGGCAACTAAGCAATCTAGTGGGCAGCTTATTCATCTGTTTGTTTTGCCTGCTGTGAGCACCAAAGGGACTTTCTCTTCATCCCAAGGCAGCCTGCATCAGGAACTTCCCACATCCCAGTCTTACTTGAGAATTTCATCTTCTAGGGTTTGGGGGTGGGGGGTGGGAGTGGGAGTGGTGTTACTGATTACGTTCCAGGCCAGGATTGAAGGCTTGTCTGGAAGTCTTGCCTGCACCATGTTTGCCTTCCCTGACTGAAGAATCAGAGCATCAGGAAGAGATGTCAGAGAAATCCACCTGCTTCATCCGCAACATCATTCCCACCTACTCCAACTTTAATTATTAATACCGAATTTTATGTCGTATTCTGCTATGATTGACTTTTAAGTCTACGGCTGAAATCGGGGGTAAATCGGGTATATAATTCTTAAGTTAGCCAGGATTCTAACGTTGTACTTTTTGGACTTACCAGTGGAAATCAGAGCAGCTGAGAAGAGGACCGTTGTGGGAAGCATCTGGTTTGCTTCCTGCTCCTCCCTCTGGTTATGTTGCTCCGGTGCACACAGGATCCACGACCGAGTCAATCTTCTTTGGGAATTTGCTTTAGAATCCTGTGTTTCTCTGAGTTTCAGTGCGAGACACGGAAAGCAAAATGAGTTCGGTTAAACTGTAACGCTCATGGAGAGCTGTCTGATCCCATGGAGACCTCTGCCAAAGCCTTTGATCTGGAGAAGCAGCCAATGCTATCAGAAATACTGACTAAATATTAACAGGAGTGAGGAAGCTGGATGCAGGTTGATATCTTTTGCTTGGGGCTGGGGCGGGGGGGTGAATGGTGGTCTAGTTGTTACTGTCTGCTGGACCATGCATGCTTCAGGAAAAAACTGACAGCAATATTAGACGACTATCACTAATAGCAGCATATATCTTAGGTGTGGTGGGTTTTAATCATCCAATTAGAGTTCATCTACCTCAGATTTATAGATAATAGCAACAGTTTGATGAATTACGCTTGTTTCTTTTGGGCATGTGATTTTTTAAATGCTTATAATGGTGGAAATTAACACCTAAGAATCTATCAGTAGCGGAAATTATAGGCCTATAGGAAAATATAGGCCCATTCAATGGAGTATAAGAGCTTAAATAAGGACTATATATATTATTAAATATATATATATATATTAATAAAGCTAAATCCTAGATATACTACTGAGTGAAAAAGCACTTCTAGAATTATGTATCACCTGCCATATCCTTTCTTTAAATCTTCCAAACAAAAAGCATTGCCCTTCGTGAATGTCGTGTGTGTAGTAATGATGCAAACACATGCAGGCTGGAGGGCGGCTCAGCGGTTAAGAGCACTGACGCTCTTCCAGAGGTCCCTGAGTTCAATTCCCAGCAACCACATGGTGGCTCACAACCGTCTGCAATGAGATCCAGTGCCCTCTTCTGATGTGAATGAGGACAATGATAGTGTACTCACATACTCGCATACAAAAAATAAAATATTAAAGGTAGCCAAAGTCACGCAGCACAGACTAGAAAGTCATGACAATGTAAGCTCTGAAATATTTTGTTTCTGAAAAAAAAAATGTCAATGGCAACTCTGCAAACCACTAGTTTGTCAGTTACTGGGAACATGGATGCCGAATTCTCTAATTCCCTCTGTGTTTTTATTTGTAGTTACATTTTCTGAATCGGAGTGTTCATATCTAAACTACCAGCTCCTCACTGCCGTCATCATCAGACAAGGGCTGGACTTTCCCATGAGGCCTTTTCCCTTGCATACCTAGTCAGTAGCTGTAGGAAACTTGTGCTGTAATATTCGGACATCTGCAGCCACACCCTGGCCTGTGTCTTCCTGGACACTTCCCCAGCCCTCGGTTTTAGCTCAGCCCTGTGGCATTGACCAAGTGAGTCAGAGGTAACAGTATGTCCCTGCAGCCTGGCCTGGTCTTTATCATTGCTCTCTGCTTCCGGTGTTCTGCCAGTGCCAGGCCGACCAGCTGCCCCGAGGACACAGTGAAGATCCACACGCCACAGAGACTCACAGCTGAAGACAGCCCAGAACACCCCAGAACACCCCAGAACACCCCAGAACACCCCAGAA